TTGTAACTCACTGGCGTTGTCCTGGGAGGGCAGGATTCACAGCCTAGGCCTTAGGAGACCTAGAGCCTATCCTTCCCTCTGATGGGCTCTTCCTAGTTGACCTTGCCTAGTTGGGTCTCCAGCTTCTATAAATTGCAGGACAACTTCTCATTTATAGGGGCACTTGCTTAGAAGTTGTTTAAGCTGAATGTTATATAGTTAAATAAGCCAGAGTGTCAGCCCCTACACTAGACTATCTGAAGACACTTTTTAACCCACAATTGTATGTGTTTTAACCATCTGTGTATAGAGCTTCATACTTCCCCATTCAATCCATAGGATGAGTCTTTGATCCTATATTAGAACCACCAAAAGTTTCCCCATGTAGCATTTTAAATCCCTCACAAATCACACATGATCTTGGGTGGTCCTTGGTTGTTCTTTCTTTGACAATGTCAACTTCCAGGACTGGATTCCTAGGAATTAGGAAAGATAAGAGAGTACTGTCTTTGGTCCATGGTCCAGCCAAGCCTTCCTCACTGTCTCAAACAGTGTTTACATGTGCTTTTAAGACAAGGAGTCAGCAAGGCTCATATCTGATGATCTAATAACCATCCATTTAAGTAATAGCAATCACTGGGGCTGCTTTGAAACACTTCTACAAGACCTTCTACTTGCCTTTCTCCACTCTGAGAGTCAGTGAGCCCTCCAAAGCTACATTAGTTTGGTAGTGTATAGTCAAGATGTACAGGGATGCTCTTGAATCCCTGCCACGGGCACTGATACAGAGCGAAGAGCTACACTGACAGCTTCTGTTGTCTATATTGCAGGGAGAGGAACCTGACTGATGGGCCTGAAACCAAAAATCTGAGGCTTCCAGGTGTCTAGGAATTAGAAGTGTTAATACCTCTTTCATGCCTGCCCTTCAAATTCATAGTTGAGAACACTGAGTAGAAGTAAGCTTCCCTGTCTCCAGGATTTCCTAAATACATAGACCAGATCATGAAGAATTATTTAAAAGAGCCAGCATAGTCCCAATCTTAGTTGCCACAACTAAATGCCACACAATGATGACTGATCACTAGAAGTTCATTTAGCTCTGGCTTCAGGAACTAGCAGCAGTACATAATGAGTGTTTTACACTGTTAGACTCATGGTTAAAACAACAACATCAACAAACAAACAAAAAATACAGAAGGGGTTCAGTGCTAGTAGCTCATGTTTGTAATCCTCTCTATTCAGGAGGCTGAGATCCAGGAGATGACAGTTTGCATTTACCTGGGGTTAAATGGTCTGTGAACCTTCATCTCCAAAATGGCCAGCAAAAAGCAGGGATGAAAGCATGACTCAAGCAGTAAAACACCAGCAGTGAGCAAAACAAGCCAAATAAGTGTGAGAACCTGATGTCAAAACTCAAAAAATCCAAACAATCAACAGCAATAACAGCAACGAACTGAAGAGCTCATATGGCAAGTAAGGAAGCAAGAGAAAGCTGAGGAAGCCACATTCAGTATTATAAAAACCTGCCCTCAAGAGAACTCATCTAATCCTGTGAAAGCACCCTTTATCCCTTCATTTGGGTGCAAAGACCTCTTTAAGGTCTCACCACCTTTCAACACTGTCACATTGGAGACCAAATTTCAACCTAAATTTAGGAAGGGACAATCCATATCCAAACCACAGCACCACTCCACTGGATAAATGTGAACCCGGACAGTAGAAATGGAAATGTCCCCTGGCAAGTAAGCTTGAGAAATGAAATACCTACCGGGAAGAACTTTTCCTTGCCCCATGACATCTAGGTGAACAGGCTGAGAATCAGAACCTCGCAGAGAGGTTATACAGTGCACAGTTGGACATACAGGCTTTGGAGCCACACTGTGATGGAATTGCCCCTTTGCCCCTTTTAACTATGCTAACTTTGTGAGTAAGTTACTTAGCCTCACTGTGGCTTCCTTACCCCATTGATAAAATAAGGATAATGACAGCATCTATTTCATAGGGTTGTTGTGAAGATTCAATGAGAAAATTGAAGTCCAATGCTTAGGACAGGGTCTAGCATTTAATAAGAGCTGTACAAAGTGTGGGTTCTTATTCTTAGGGAGGCTGCTAAGTTCTTGCCTGGGCTGATGCTGGGTCACTTATGTGAGGCATGAGGTGAAAGGCCACTGGCCACAAACCTGAGGACAAGTCAGGCAGCAAGAAGCTGCCCAGTCGAGTGCAGAGACTAGAGCCTGGCCACTGGGTAAAACCTCCACACTGTGCTCACAGCTCAGCCAGCCTCCAAAGACCAAAGCAGGCACTGAGATTGCTCAGCAGGAGCTAAACAGATAGATATGACTTCTTAGTGGGGAGAAAAGCTGGGCATTGCCCTCCCCTCATCCCTAGGAATGGGCTTCCCTTCATAAGTAGCAGCCCTTCCTGGACCTGATGTCTCAATCCTTCCTTTCCTGCTGCTTGCTCTCTGAGCCACTGCCTCCACTGCCACCATCAGGCTGCCGATCTCCCTTATTCAGCTGGGAGAACTGCCAGGAAGGATGTGGCAGCAGTGAGCTCCAATAATGCTAAACAATGGATTAATTACACTCTTCTCCTATTATGCTGGAGCTCCTGGGGTCGCCTGCACGTGTGGTCACAGCAGACAACAGGTGTGAGACGTTAGTGAGGAGATCCAGTTCCCCTCAAAGGCAGCGAGCCTCCCTTGCCCCACAGGGATGGGAAAAGCGCTTGTCCCCTCTTTCCTCCTTTTTAAAGGATTTCATGCTGAGAATACTGCTTGCTTCCACAGCCCTGTTCAGAACTCTGGGGAATGAGGCGCGATTCTTTCCAGGAGGGCATCTGGCAATGGGTGACGGCTGGGCTGGCACGGCTCTGAACCCACCTGGCCAGCGCAGAGAAGAGGCGACAGCTGCTTTATGCAACTATGAGTGCCAGCTTTCCCAAAAGGAGGTCAGCCGCAGAGACCAAACTGCTAATTAGGTCGCATTCTGCTTCCTGCTGCCACTTTAATTTCCATCCCACAAAACCTTCAGCTGCAAATCCAAGACCATAGGCCTCTTTCACCTAAATGCAAATGTCCCATAAGCCTCTCTGGCTGGTGGGCCTTTGGCTAATGTGCACAAAGACGGGACTCCACGAAAGACAGGAGCTTCCTACAGAAAGGGGTGCCTTAGCCTTACACAAACTGGCTTAGAAAATTTGCAGCTGGCTTGAGCTTGAGATTGCTTTTAAGAAGACCAGCAGCCCTGTGATAGAAAGTGGAGTGTGATGAACGAACTCTAAACCAGAGGTCAAGGATTGTGAAACCATTTCTGCTTTGACAGTAATGATTTGGATAACTTTGGACAAATTACTTCCACTTCCTTATGTGTTGAAAAATGAGTTGGAATTACCCCTTGCAAATGCTATGATTCTGATAATGATTTAAAACTGATTTCAAGACAAGCCTGATAGTGCAAGCCTGTAATTCCAGCAACTTGGGGGAAAGAGATAGGAGAATCATGGTCTCATGCCATCTTAAGCCAAAAGTGTGGGATCCTATCTGAAAGAAACAAACTAAACGGAAAAGAACTGGGAGTGTGACTCAAGTGAAAGAGCTCTTGAGGGCCCTGAGGTCATGCCCCAGTAAAACACACACACACACACACACACACACAAACACAGAGCAACCCAACAAGTTATTTCAACTGAACTTTTTCCGTGTTGTTTCATATCCACTATGGTACTCAGTCGGCTGCTTTGCACCATAGTATTTGCATTTCCAGCCTCCTGTGATGGATACTGTGATGTCTTTTCTAGGCACTCCTCTAATAACCAACAGCACCATCAGCTGCTGAGTCCATCCCTAACAAACAGCTTTTTGGCCCAAGATCATGCTTCCCTCCCAGGGGTCTGGTGCAGTACGAAGCCTCAAGACATTTTTTCTTTGGTAAAATTCTCAAGATCATCCAAATTCTGGAATTCCCTGAGAAGTCAGCTGAGGCCTCTGTCACAATAGCCTTGCAGTTCAACCTCCTCCTGTGGCATCCTGCTTTTCTCCCTTCTTAATAAGTACTACTCCCAAAGGCACTCCCAATCAACTCATTGCATACCAATCTCTCACTCAAATTGTGCTTCCCAGGGAGCCCAACCTAGGACACCTCATTTTTCTTGGCTGCATACTTGGGCACAAGGATTGTTGCTCAGTGGGTGGGGGCCCACTGTGTTTGAGGACAGTTTCCTTCCTGAACTTACATCATTTACACAGGCACCTCCCAACAAAGGAAAAGTATAATTCATTTTGTCAAGGATTCCAGATGTCTCAATACTGAAGAAAGGGTGGGAAGCCCAGGCTCTGGAGTTCCTTTGTCAAGGGTTCACATAGATCTGTTAAATTCATTGAGGCAGTAACACCCAGATAAACTCCCTGACATACAAGTTCTTAAAGCTCTGGACCTCGTCCAGAGACATCTACTCTGGCCCCTTTCACAAGGCTTCCTCCTTACTGGGTGTTGAGGGAAGCCCTTGCGTCATACTTTGCCCTCCGTAATCTTACATCACAATTTGTTATTACATACTTAGTAGAACTAGGATCCTTTGAAAGGAGCCCACAGCATCTTTTCTATGCCCAACATGGAGAGAATCCAGGCCAGGGCTCTTGGAGTCAGAAAGAAGCTTGCACAGTAATTCATCACTACCTCTCCTGGCTTACATTCAATAAACAAAAAAAAAAACCCTTCTGACATTGTTCTCTAATCTCTGCCAGGCTCTATGCCACCAGCTGAGGCCCAAGGGATGAGTAAAATCTGGTAAATCTAGTTCTAGCCCTTACAAACCAGTGTGACAAATGTCATAATAAGATATGTGACCTCTTGTTCCTTCAGCTAACTAGACTGCACACAGATTTGGAAACACATGGCCTTTTCCAACTTCTTCCCACACCCAAATATGATGGAGTCAAATAGGGCCACTTTGCATCCTCATCTGTGTACCTGTAGTGTACAGGCTGATGAAGATGATCCCTTTGGGGATCATCTGCTCAAAGAAGGGAAGTGTGTGGCTGCTTGGAGTTCTTGCTGGATCTTCAGATCTGCCTGTGCTGAGGTCAGAGAGATTAGGGAGAGAAAGCCCACAAAGAGGGGATAGAGAGAACTGCTGCTATGCCTATACCAAGGGCCTTCCCATGAACTCAGGTTGTTCTAATCCCAAAAGCACTCAAAGACTTAGCTTAAAGTGACTGCTATAATATACTCTTTCCATGTCCCTATATGCCATATACTTGGCTCAGTGCAGGGACTATTATGGTGAATAGAATCGAACATGTTGATTAGGGAAGAAACCAGGTAATAAAAGAGTCATGGCAGTATGGTAAGAAGCCAGAACAGGACACTTATTCATTCTTGAGCTACAGGCAAGGAGATCTGGGAAAGTTTCTCTTGATGGTACCCAGAAGTATCATCAAAGCTGAGACTTGAGGAAAGAGGGGTGTGTCATCAAAGAGGAACTTGGTAATACAGAGAAGATCAAAGTGTTACAAAGAGAGGAAGTAACCCACTGAATGCTTGCTGACCTGGAAGTAAAAGAGATCATCAGTGTAGAAGAGAATAAGAACATGACAAAGAAAAGGAGGGAGATGCTGTGGTCTTAAGTAGCAGATGCAGTTGAAGAGAGGTTCATGTTTCCAGGAGACATTGTATGTGGACTTAAGCTATGTGAATGATTGGTATGGGGAGAGGAGGGGGTGGGGAAGGAGGAGGAGGAAGAGGTGTTGAGGAGTGTGCAGGGGGCCACGGTTGAGGATCTGGAGAGAGGGAGGATGAGCAATTCACTGTCATCAGAGATGAAAGCTGGGAGCAGATTTCCAGATTCAAAGGATAAGCATATTTTCAACAAGCTATATTTAAGAGTCTAGGGGATTGTAGGATGTTGCTTGAGGGGATGAATGGAAGGTGGAGATTGGGACACATTAGAGCACAGCCAGATTATGCTGGAAATCTCAGGATGGAGGTAGAGGTAAGAGGGATGGGACAAAATCCTAAGGAATAACTTTATAGAAATGATCATAGTGAATGATCCTGCTTTTAGCCAGTGAGCAAAAAAGTAGATCAGAGGTCACAGATGTCAGGAGGAACATAGGATTTGAGATGGAGTAGGACCTCAATGCCTCATGCTACTGAGAAGTCAAGTGGACAAGAAATGGAAAATTCCTGTAATGAGAGCAATACCAGTGGCACATGAACTGCCACCGGAGTGAAGAAGGTAAGAGAGCCCTCACAAAAGGCAAGGGCATTTCTAGGCCATCAAGTAAGCCATCTTGCAACAATGCACACTTGAAGCTCTGAATTAAATGGCAATTTACTTTGATTCTACTCGCATTCAAGAGACAGCACAGAAGCTCATGCTTCTTAGTTGTTTATAACCTTGAAACTTGCATGTGATCCAGCATCCAGTGACCACTCCTGAAGCTGATGCATTCAGCTAATTGGAACTTTTATAGTAGAACACAGAAGGAAGCTAAGGATCAGCTTACCTTTCCTCTACGTCCCTCACATACAGAGAAGATTGATCATAGCAGCTGCTGGAGCAAGGAGAATCAGACTGCACTGAAAATATGGCCTGATCTGCCTTAAAAGCTTAGAGCTTTTTTCAGAGGATGGCCTTTTCCAATTAGGTTTTGTTGTTGTTGTTTAGAGGGAGAAGAGGCCGCCTTTATGCCAACAAAGCCCCTAACCCCACCAAGGTTTAAAGACAGACCACTTTCCTGAAAGGAGCATTCCACTGTCCTGCTAAGCCTGATCACCATATTGGACCACCTCTGTTCTCAAGACTATTCTAGACAGACATTAAATAAGGTAAAATCACAAGATATTGCTGCTGATGATATTATCAAATATGTCCAAATCAAACAAAATGAGACTATTGACTCAATCGGTTTTCTGTTACTATAAGAGAATGTTGCCAACTTGGCAATTAAAAAAAAAGAAAATATATTTGCCTCATCATTCCAGAGGCTGTGAATCTGGTGGGACCTTCTTGCTATAGTATCCCATGGCACAAGGTAAGAGAAAGGAAGGGACAGAAATAGAGAAGGAGAGAAATAGAGAAGGGAGGGGAAAAGAGAGAGACTGAATACATCCATTTATGAAAAACCTACTCTTGTGATAACCCACTTCTACACTAGCAGTAATCCAATCTCAAGAGTGGCATCCTCATGACCTAATCACCTCTCAAAAGTCCCACCTCTTTACATATTGAACTGAAGACTGTTTCCAGCACAAGAACATTGGAGGACACACTCAAACCATTATGACTACCATTTGCCTAGTTACATAGACCCAAGGGCTTGGCATTAACTTTTATCCTAATCTTTCCCTTTCCTCCTGCAACTCATCAGCCAGTGTTGTCAAACATAATCCTAAACCTGACCACTTCCAACAATGTCTACTATTTCAGTCCAGTCTAGCAGCATCTCATGTCTACATGCCTGTGAGGAGCTTCTTAATTGGTTTCTCTGCTCCGTTTTTTTTTTTTTTTTTTTTTTGCCCACTCTATAATCCATCTTCCTTCCAGCAACCAGAGGAATAATTTTTAAAATAAAAAGTGGAGCCTGTGGAATCCAGATATATACTGGGAAGATCTCTCTGAATTAGTAACTATGAGCAGACACTTAAATAAACTGAGAAGCCCTAAACTGCATAATGGGGACAGAGCATTCCAGACATAAAGAATAGTAAATGTGAGGGCCCTCAGGTGGAGGGATGCTAGAAGAGGACCGTGAATGTGTATGTTGGGGTCGGGGAAATGAAAGGAGATGAGGACTCTGAATGGAAGACCAAGCTGTACTAAAGACCAGATGCTGATGGCTCATACTTGCAATCCTAGCTACCCCAAAGATGGAGATCGGGAAGACCATAGTTTGTGATCAGTTTATGCATAAAATAAATACATAACCCACATCTCAATCAATGGTTGCATATGATGGCTCTTGCTTATTATTCTAGCTAGGTTGTATGCATAATAGGAAAATACTGCCAGGGCATGCATAAAAGACATTTTTTTAAATAAAGGTAAGAAGAACTGGGGGCATGGCTCAAGTAGCAGAGCACCTGCTTAGGAAGCACACGCCCTTGAGTTTAGCTCCCACTACTATGAAAGACAAAAACAACAAAAAGACAAAACAACTGGAGGCATCACTTAAGCGATAGAGCACCAGCCAAGCAAACTGAGCAAATTCAAAGTCCTATGTGAGGGAGACAGCAGGATGCCTAGGGAGGGCTAGTGGTGATCACAGTCCAGAGGCTTTACTGAGTAAGATGTCTGAGGCTGAGGATGAGGAAGATGGAGCCACAACCAGGTCAGGACTATGGCAAACAGTCCTGGAATCTCCAATGGCCAGTGGACTTCATGTAGACTCTGGCCAGTGGCTTTTACCTGTAATCCTAGGTACTCAGGTGGCAAAGAAAAGGAAGAGAAAGAGAATGAGAGAGAAAGAGAGAAATATAGGGCGGGAAGGAGGGGGAAGAAAGAGAAAGAGAGGGAGAGAGAAAAGGAAGGAGGGAAGGAAGGAGGGAGGGAAAAGAAGGGAGAGAGGGAGAAAGGGAGGAGAGCAGAGGGCACTGCTTACATTTCAGCTGGTTCTTTGCATCCGTCTGTGCCCTCTGCTTGGAGAAAAGAGGTCTTTTTTTTTTTTTCCTTTTTTTTTTTTTTTAATTTAATTTAATTTTATTTGAGAACATACTGTACAGAGGGGTTACAATTACATGGGCAGGATAATGCATACATTTCTTACCAAGCATTGCAGCCTCCTCCTTTGTTTACCCTTCACCTCCCTTCCCAGCCTCCCCCCTCTCCCCCACCCAATCATACCCCCCTCCCCCCCCCCTCCGACATTGTAAAGCTGGTTTTGACATGACATTTTGTACTTCTCATTGTTGCAACAGGTCCACCTGAATCCTTAAACGACTTGTTTGTCCCCATCTCCTCCACATGTTATACTGACATCAAATATAGTGAAAGCGGGGGTTACACTGTGGGGGAGGGACATACAAAGCAACCAAGAAATAATCTTATAAATGCATTAGAAACACATGCATGAAAGAAACAAAAACATTAAAATACATATTTGAGGGTTCGTTTTCCTAACATCACATTCTCTGACTTTTTCCGCTTGACTCATACCTATACTAGATATTGCAAATAAGGGAAACCATGGGACCTATGTTTCTTTGGGCCTGGCTTACTTCACTTAATATAATTTTTTCCAAGCCTTTCCATTTCCTAACAAATGGGGAAATGTCATTCTTTCTAATGGAGGCATAGAATTCCATTGTGTATATATACCACATTTTCTTGATCCATTCATCTACTGAGGGGCATCTGGGTTGGTTCCATATCTTAGCTATGGTAAATAATGCTGCAATAAACATAGTTGTGCTGGTAGGTTTAGTGTGGTCTTGTTTGTAAACATTAGGGTAAATGCCCAAAAGTGGAATTGCTGGGTCATAGGGGAGTTCTATGTGAAGTCTTTTGAGGAACCTCCATACTGCTTTCCAAAGTGGTTGAACAAGTTTACATTCCCACCAACAATGAAGTAAGGTTCCTTTCTGTCCACATCCCCTCCAGCATCTGTTGTTGTTAGAGTTCTTGATTTTTGCTGTTCTAACTGGAGTGAGGTGATATCTCAATGTTGTTTTGATTTGCATTTCTTTTATGGCTAGGGATGTTGAACATTTCTTCATGTGTCTATTGGCTATCCTTCTTTCTTCTTCAGAGAAGCTTCTCTTTAAGTCTTTCGCCCACTTACTTATTGGGCAGTTGCTTCTTTGAGGATTTGTTGTTGGGTGGTTTAATTTTTTGAGTTCCAAGTATATTTTAGATATGAGACCCTTGTCCGTTGTATGGCTAGTAAAGATCTTCTCCCAGTCCGTGGGCTTTCTATTGATCTTGCTAGCTATGTCTTTTGCCCTGCAGAAGCTCTGCAACCTTATACAATCCCATTTGTCCAACCTTTCTTTGATTTGTTGTGTTTCCGGGTCTCTATTCAGAAAATTTCGGCCTGAACCAAGGAGACCCAGGGTTTCTCCTATTCCATCCTGTAATGTTTTCAGAGTGTCTGCTTTGAGTTCAAGGTCTTTGATCCATTTGGAGTTGATTCTGGTGCAGGGTGATATATAAGGATCTAGCTTTAGTTTTCTACATGTAGTTAACCAGTTTTGCCAGCACCATTTACTGAAGAGGCTGTCTGTCTTCCATTCTATTGTTTTAGCTCCCTTATCGAAGATTAGATGGCTATAGGTCTGTAGGTTCATTTCTGGGTTTTCAATTCTATTCCATTGGTCCTGAGGTCTGTTCTTATGCCAATACCAAGCTGTTTTGATTACTATGGCTTTATAGTAGAGTTTGAAATTTGGTATTGATATTCCTCCAGCAGTGTTCTTTCCGTTGAGGAGCGTTTTTGCTATTCGGGGTCTTTTATTGTTCCATATGAATTTTTGGATTGCCTCTTCTATTTCCTTGAAGAATGAGGGTGGAATTTTGATAGGTATTGCGTTGAATTTGGAAGAGAAAGCTCACTACCGAACACATTCTATGAAGCCATCATAACCCTCATCCCAAAACCAGGCAGGGACTCATCAAAGAAAGAGAACTATAGACCCATTTCTTTGATGAACATTGATGCAAAACTTCTCAACAAAATTTTGGCCAATCGACTTCAACAATTCATCCAAAAAATCATACACCACGATCAAACAGGATTCATTTCAGGGATGCAAAGCTGGTTCAATATACCCAAATCAATTAATATTATTCATCACATCAACAGGAGCAAGAATAAGAACCACATGGTTATCTCAATAGACGCAGAAAAAGCATTCGACAAGATCCAACACCCCTTTATGATGAAGGTTTTGGAAAAATTAGGAATCCATGGAACATTCCTCAATACAATAAAGGCTGTATATGACAAACCTACAGCCAGCATAATACTCAATGGTGAAAAACTAAAGCCATTTCCTCTTAACTCAGGAACAAGACAAGGTTGCCCACTCTCTCCACTTCTCTTCAATCTAGTATTAGAATGCCTAGCTACAGCAATAAGACAAGATGCAGACATAAAGGGGATCCAAATAGGGAAAGAAGAAATAAAACTCTCCCTCTTTGCAGATGACATGATCTTGTATTTAAAGAATCCCATAGACTCCACTCCCAAATTACTCAAGCTGATTCAAAACTTTGGCAAAGTAGCAGGTTATAAAATTAACCCCCAAAAATCAATGGCTTTTCTGTATGCCAACAATGAGAAAAGTGTGGCTGAAATTAGGAAAGCAACTCCATTTGTAATAGCCCCACAAAAAATAAAATACCTAGGAATTAATTAACTTAACTAAAGAAGTGAAGGACCTCTATGATGAAAACTTTAAAATCTTGAAAAAGGAAATCAACACAGAACTTAAAAAATGGCAAAACCTCCCATGCTCCTGGATTGGAAAGATTAACATCGTGAAAATGGCAATACTTCCCGAGAAAAGAGGTCTTAGGGAAAGGAGACCTCAGATGGATGGGGACAGATGCATGGGGATCTCCCGTGACCTTCCTATAACCTTCAGGTTTGATACACAGGCTTGGCAGTGGCAGCAGTCCTTCACATATCTGCCCTTTAGAGCTGGCCCTGGGAACTGCCTGTGGGTGCGGCTGGGGCTTCTGCCATTGTTCCATATCCTGTGCCCATTCCACTTCAAAGCCCGCCCTGAAATTCAGGTACCACTGCAGCTAGAATCCAATCCTGCCCTCAGTCCAAAAAAATGGAGTCTTCATCAAGATTGTGTCCCCCTGATGTGATCACCTTGGGGAAGGAGGGAGCATCACTTAGTGATACCTGCGAGTTGGAGTTAGGAGGGCTCCCCTACATTCAAAGAAAACCTTCCTATAGATACATCGATGTTTAAAGAAGTATCACTAGGGTGGTTGATTGGGTGAGTGCCTAGCATGTAAGCATAGAGAGGTTACTTACCTAACTGATCCTAAATGCTTGCATTTAGTTGCACTTGGTTTTATTTAAAAAAAAAATAAAGAAAGAAAAGAAAAAACAGCTGGGCCCTGGTGGCTATGCCTGTAATCCTAGCTACTCAGGAGGTTGAGATCTGAGGATTATGCCTAGAAGCTAGCCAGGCCAAGAAAGTCCAGGAAACTCTGATCTCCAATAAACTACTCAGAAAAATCCAGAAGTAGTGCTGTGGCTCAATTGGTAGAGCTCTAGCCTCAGAACAGTGTCCTGGCCCTGAGTTCAAGCCCCAGGTCCAGCAAAAAAAAAAAAAAAGACAAAACCGAGGCTGCCACAAGTTTGCTCTAGGCCAGGGTTATTATGTTAGGGCTAATACTGGAACATGTCTGATTGGGCACAGCCATAGTGAAGAAGAGTTGAAGGTCATTGTTAGATTGAGCACATATTCTATCTGGCACTATGCCATTCACATACATTCCCCCAAGGATACTTGGGTTGCCCTCTGCCTTTGGTCATGTCAAACAGACTTTAGACCTGTGTCTCAAAACTTTAAGCTACTTCACAGGTCCTTCAAAGGTCCCTAACCTTAGAGCCAGGCTCTATTTGTCATAGTAGCTAAACTGATTATCATGCTATCTGATCTATTTGATTCTATATGTTCTTTTAGGATCTGTCAGATCTGTGTGCGTGTGTCTCTCAGTCTCTCTATATCTGTCTGTTTCTGTCCTGTCTCTCTCTTTACAGACACAGTTCTTCAGTTGTTTTCACTTTCTGCACACCTGAAATGCCTTCTTCAGAGCACTTTAATTGGTGAGCAATAGGGTCTCCATGCTGCCATATCCAGCGAAGGCATCCTGACCTCTCTTTCCTTAGCCTGTTTTTGGTGTACACAACTGCTGACATGTTCATTGTTGTGCAATCTTTGGTAATATCCCAGGGTTTTTTTCCTACTTCACAGATAGTTTCCCATTAGTCTTTCTTAGTCTCTAGTGTAGCCCATTTCTCATTTCATAGAGGTTGGATAACTACTTTCAATCCATAGCTTTTATAACAATTATAGCAGATTGTGAAAATATTTCTGATCGTGGTATCATGTTAAAAAATGGCGGAAACCCTTCTACATGTATAGGCATTCATTTATAGGTAACATGCATACATTACTTGAATACTGTATTATACCATATCATATAAGTGTGGAAATTAGATAAAGATAAAAAAATAGAAGCACCAATCATTTCTTCTTCCTCTCAATGGCTCATGTTGCTCACATTCTGTAAGACTACTAAGGCAACCCAATTACTCCATATGGCGGAAATAGCCAGCAGTCCTCCAACAATTCATCTTTCTCCTTCCATCAATGCAGTGTGGTGGGAGGGGGCCGTCAACTCTGCTAAGAAAAAAGACTACCATTAGAGCACACTGAAAACAAAGCTAAAGGTGTATAAAAGATCTGAAAGTGAGTGCAAGTTTGTGCACAATTGCCTACCAGACAAGTATGCCAAATTCAAATTCTGCACATCCAAAACAAAAATCACATTTCCCCTAAATCTCTGATCTCTGCTTCGATAAAAATAGCAATATGGACATAATGTTATGTCAGAAACCAAAGAAGGGCTTCAAAAGCTAATACGGTTGCAGCAGAAGGACATAACAGTCTGTTTAAAGGGGATTCTATCAGTTGAACGTGAAACATTAAAAAAAATACTAACAGTAATACGTTATGAGGTATCCTGCGTGTGTGTATGTGTATGTGTGTTTGTGTAGCAAGGATTATTGGTGTGAGCTACCAGTGCCCAGATCATTCTGGCTTTTTGCTGACTATTTTTGGAGATGAAAGCTTAGACTTTTTGTGTCAGGGCTGGCTTCAAACTACAACCTTCCAAATAATTAGGATTACAGGAATGAGCCACAAGTGCCCAGCTTGAGTTCTATTTCTTTTTAATGCCCTTAGCATGCATTTGGGCACAGCTGGGGAAATTTTGATATCACCATACATTACGCATTGAAGGATATTATTGGATCAATTTTAAATGTCTTAGATATTGCAGTTTTATAAAGTTGTTCTTGATGCACACCAATGTATCTAAAGATGGGTGTTATACCTGTGCTTTACATATATGTGCTAGTTAAAAATGTATGTGTGTGATAATGTATATACTGAAAATGTGACAGATATGGAGAAGAGAGGGGAGGAAGAGAAGGAGGGAGGGAAAGAGGAAAGGAAGGAGGGAAAGACAGAGAAGAAAGAAAGAAAGAAAGAAAGAAAGAAAGAAAGAAAGAAAGAAAGAAAGAAAGAAAGAAAGAAAGAAAGAAAGAAAGAAAGGAGGGAAAGAGGAAGGGAGAGAGGGAGGGAGGGAGGGAGGGAGGGAGGGAGGGAGGGAAGAAGGAATGAAAGAAGGGAGAGAGAGAAAATACACAGCAAAAAGGTAACAACTGTTGGATCCAGAGATGCACATTGAGTTATTCATTGTATTATCAATTCAACTTTTCTTTAGGTTTGCAAAACTTCAAAGAATATGGGGAAATAAGCAAATATACCTTGTCTCTGCTTTTGCCAACACAGATTACCAGGGACCAGATTTTAAAAGACTCTATTTGATTAACTTACAACTTTGATTTTCTTGTCCTAAAAGCTAAGGGAAGTCATGAAAAGGTTTTAACCAGAATTATCTGATCAAGTTAAGTGTAAAAGATGATAGTAAAGAAGGAGCTCAGTATAACTCTGTCTTGTGGGGTTTTCTTCATTCCCATCCCCCTTTCTAGATATGAACATTCTAACTAGTCTCCCTTCTAAGTGCCTCTGTTCTTTTTGAACCATAGCACTCTGATTCCCGTAACAAGTGACTTGGTTACCTCTCCTTCCTTAGTTCTCTGATTCCCATGTAATTTGTGTAACTGATTTCTCTTTCTCTGTAACTGATTTCTCATTCTGTAGTTGAGTTCAGAACAAGCTTTCTAAAACTCAAACATGAACAGAACATTCTCCATTTAGAACTTTTCTGTGACTCCTCTAAGAGCATGTTTAAAAGTTTTCTATATCTATCGTCCAGATACTCTGCAAAATAGGCTGAACACACACCTGGCCAGTGGAAAGATGGTCTAGGTTCCAGAAGCTGTTCTCCATCTTCCAGGGATCACCATGGTTGCCACCTTTTCCTGTGGTTGTAGGAAAATCTTTTCAGCATTGTGGCTTCATAGTATTTCTTTCTTAGGGGTTTCTTCTCTTTTTTGCCAGTCCTGGGGACTGAACTCAGGTCTTGGGCACTGTCCCTGAGCTTCTTTTGCTCAAGGCTAGTGCTCTACCACTTGAGTCATAGCACTACTTCTGGCTTTTTCTGCTTATGTGGAGCTGAGGAATCGAACTCAGGGCTTCATGCATGCTAGGCAAGCACTCTACCACTAAGGCACCTTCCCAGCCCAACTTCTGCTCCTTTTTGCATGAGAGGCTTGCTCTTGAGGAATGGAAAGACCTCAAATTTATGGGCAAAGTCTGTCCTCACTCTTTCCAGGATCTATATTGTCTTCTCTCCTTGTGGGCAAGGGCTACCTAGGATATTCCCCTTTCTGACATGAGAAGAAGCCTCATTCAGTGAATTTGCTACTCTAAGACCTTATTTTTGTCTCCATTTCATCTGCCAGCTGTTGAGGCTCACTGCCATAGAAAAACGTCCTTCTCCTTGTTTCTGTTTTGCCAGTGAGCATTTTCCTTTCAACCTTTATAGGGGCCCTGCTCCTCTACCAGCTGTGAAGGGCTGGTGGGGAAAGGGGAGAGATCTTCTGTCTGGAGAGGAGACTCAGATTTACCAGCAAATCTAAGTCACATCTGAGAAGTCCCAAGTGGTTCAAAAGAGACAAAAGTTCTCCCTTTCTTCACTTTTTCACCTTCAATAAACTGTGAGCTTTTATGCATTCTAACAGTCAGTCTTTTGTAAACTCTCTCAGCCTGAAGGCTTGAGACTAAGGTCCAGGGCCAAAGGAATTGCTACTATCCCAGCTGCTTGGAACAAGCTGCTTCTTGTATTTAAAAAAACCCAGTGAAGTACTAGAATTTGCTCTAGCACCTTTTACAACAATGGTAACCTATTTCTTCCCTCTCTCCTCCCCCCAGGAATTCAACTTCCCAAAGGAGAAAAGGAGGCAACAAACAGTGATACTCCTGTTCCTACAAGAGAATATTCACAAGGCCACCTTAAATAAACGCACTGAATGGGGGGTTTTCTATGGGCTCTCTACAAAACAGCAACCAGAGGAATCACTTTAGATTGTGCTTACCCCAAAACTCACTGACTCCTCATTTCCATCTGCAGTAACCCAGCTGCACCTGGTACTGTCTTACCCACAGCCTCCTGTGGTTTATCACACACTGTTGCTCAGCCTTTATGCATCTGGAATTTGCTTTCATCTCCTGGAGCTCCAGAGGTCATGCATCTGAAGTCCATAAATATTGTAAGACTCCACCTCCATGTATTCTTGCAGCTGGAGGCTTGTCCCAGAGCAGACCTCAAGGCCTCTTCGCTGTTCCAAAATATGCTCCCCAAATCCAACAGCTAACAAAAACACTCAGATCTCACTGCTGCTAGAGCTGCAACCTTGTCTAGCTTCTCCCCATCTCTCCTTTGCTATCTGGCTAGACCTCCTAAGCCACTGCCTTATTTTTTTCTTCTTGGTCTGAGTTTAGAATACACAAACACTTGTGCATTTCCTCCAAACTGGCGCAGCCTCTGATTCTCAGTGCCTTGCTTTGCTTTATATTTTTACATGATCAGCAGCAATCTTCCAAATTCCATATCCTGTGGGCTTTTCCATGAAGATTCTCATATGACTGGATATCGCTACTTGAGAAGTGTTCTTCTAGAGATGTCTCTGGTGATGCACTGATTACCACCAATGTCATCACTATCATCATCATTAATGAATAGTTAGTGCATGGGGAAATTTTTACTGCCTTGAAAGTACTTGCACATGTTTTACTTCATTTATTCCTTACCCCCAAATCCATAAATCAGAATTATTATCCTCATTT